ATACTGATTTTCACTCTTACCTTTGCAATTTCAAGTACCTACAATTTCTAGTAATGTTTGAGTATTGAAATGATCTTACTTACTACTCACTATAATATGCTCTTTTCAACGAGTATTAATGATATATTAATCAACTTATAATAAAAGACCCTTATATGGCCAATGATTCGTGCAAAATCTGATAGTATGTCTTGCCCGTGCATGATACGAAAATATAATTCCAGTCCGGCGTTCTCTATGAACGTGTCGTATCCGCTAAATGTCTTTTGAACAATCATACGAAAAACAACTTCTTCAGTGCCCAGTGGCCACGTGATATTCTGTTCTTAGCACTTTCTTAATTTGTATTATGGCGCACACGGACATTGTTATTTATTTCCTGTACAAATCGCATGGAAAATAAATAATGGGTTTGAAGTCATATCAGTGTTCGTAATGCATAACAAACACATTTATTGATACTTAACATTCAAGATATGAAATCAATTATTACATGATTATCGCTAATTTTTTTACAGCTATAGCATTGAATGTCACGCTCCCCGATCCCCAAAAATCGAGTCGAAACTTTTAAAAAGTTAAACGAAAAAAGTATTTATTTTTTTAACAAAGTTTGTACAGTATATTGGTCACCATATGCTGAACTTAAAAACCGTGTGTGCGTGTTTTGATATTTTTTATTTGCGGAGTTTTTGCCATTTGAATTTAAAATTACGAATTCTCGATGTGAAATTTGATATTTGACGCCATAAATTCAAAGCGAAAATCTACGTCCAAAAACGCTCACACGATTTTTTACCTCACAATGTCCTTAACGATATCCATTGAAAAGGCGAGGTTTTAATGCAAACTTTTTGCGAAATAGCGTCTCAAACCAAAATCACGACTTTAGCTTAATAATTTTTAATAAGTAATCTATTAACGGTTTTTCTAAACCAACTTCATAGACTTATTCTTCAGTCATACATAATATGTTATGGTTCTATTTATCGTACGAGACGCTTAATAA